GAGAGACCAGACCGGTTTTTTTAGCCTCTTGCGATGTCTTAGGAGTTAGGACCAGGTCCGCTGCAGCGCATCCGGTACTAAGACGTCGGAAGAGGCTTAAAAACCGGTCTGGTCTTTCTCGGTCTTACTCGGTTGCATATGTGTGAACGGCGCTTTACTCGATTGCACATGTGTGAACGGGCCTTAAAGGGATACTTCAACGAAATTTGAAATATATCCGTCGTGTTCAAAAATAGGTGGAATATGATCCACAATATCCGTAAATGACAATCGCATGTTTGCATTTTGAGCATGGTGGCTGTATTTTTTGTTATAAACGGCCCACTCTAGCAAACGCTCGGAGAAGGCTTAGCTTAGAGCACGTGACATCCGACGCAGTCGTGACGTAGGTCGTCTCGGGACGAGCAAAGCTACAGCGAGGCTGACGTCGAGGTGATGGCCTAGTCGTTCCAGCCACCGAAGCGGCTGCTTTTGTACGAATTTTGAGTGATGGGTTAATCTTTTATAATCTTGTAGGGGGACAATAGCTACTTCTGGAACGCACAAAGGGGATTCTCGGGAAGACGGGAGGGTTCCTCCTTCCCTCTTCTGTCTTCGTAGCCGGAGGCGAGACACTCACCGTCACTGACTATCAAGGTTCCTAGACGGGCATTACAAACGAGGCGTTAGCGACATCCACCCGGTGCTCTTTGCTAATCGTTTAATTCGTTTTAAAATTCCTTTTCGTGGCTTCTTTAACAAGATTCTGGTGCGTTCGGTGTGATACTGCTCCTTTGAACACATATAGACCATAAAATAAGCGCCGAAATTTCGTTATAGTATCCCTTTAAGACTGAGAGAGACCAGACCGGTTTTTAAGTCTCTTGTTACGTCTTAAGACCGGATGCGCTGCAGTGGAGCTGGTCCTAAGACGTCGCAAAAGGCTTAAAAACCCGTCTGGTCTCCCTCGGTCTTACTCGGTCGCATATATGTGAACGGAGCTTAAGTGTCTTGCCTAGAACTATAGACCTTTTCCGCAAGGGCGCCGCCATCTTGAATTGTCACTTCCAGTATGGACGAAAACATTGTTTTGCCGACGCCACGCCAATAGAAGGCATTTAGGACGCCACGCCAATAGAAGGCGTAACCGTCACACATTCTGGTTTTGCCTCCCTCTATCCTTTTACTATTTACAGGTTGAAACGTTTTAGTATTTTTTTCGTCGCCCATACCGGATACGCCTATTAGGTGGCTGGGGACGAGAGTACACAAAAAAGGTCTATACATGCTTTGAACCTGACGTCATCCCGACAGCTCTGCGGCCAGCTCAAAAGAAGAGCGGAGGGAGGAACTCCCCACTCAACGGGACTCTCTTTTGTGTCCCCCAGACGTCGCTATTCTCCCTCTACGAGATTACAGAAGATTAACCCGTCTCTCAAACTTCACACAAAGGCACCTTTGCGGTTAGTTGAGGATGCCCTAGCTGTTCCAGCCACCGAAGCGGCCGACCGCTTCGGTGGCTGGAACAGCTAGGGCATCCTGATGGCGTCAGCCTCGCCACAGCTTTGCTCATCCCGGGACAGACTACGTCACGATTGCGCCGGATGTGACGTGCTCTTCACTGGCTGCTCTCCGAGCGCTTGCCAGAGTGGGACAGTTATAACGAAAAATACAGCCACCAGGCTCAAAACACAAACCTGCGATTGTCATTGATGGATATTGTGGATCCTGTTCAGTCTATTTCTGAACTCGTCGGGAATATTTCAAATTTCGTTGAAGTATCCCTTTAAAGGCTTGAAAAGTCGAACTTGGTCGAAAAAAACTAGGATATTCTATATACACTCTATACTCTGTTTTACCTTGTGTTGTACCGCAGGAGAGGCTACAAGCGCGAGCTCCTTGCTCTATGGCACATCTCGGCGGCACAGGTTCTCGTGCACCAAGGGCAGCTGCCAACGCTATGAGCTCGCGCTTCTAGCCTTCGCTGCGGTACAGCATAAGGTGAAACGAAGTACAGTCAAAACACGTCAATACTTTGATAGTAAAACGCTTAAAGGAGCGGTGCAACAATGTTCAATTGGAATGTTTTTCACTTTACACGAGCTTACTGACACACCTGGGACTCAAGGATACTCGCACGCAACGCCATTAGCCAAGAAACTCCTTTGTTACGGTGTATTTTCAAGGACAAAAACGACCCTTTTCATTCCATCCCTCTTTTGCAAAATTTGATGACGTAAAGTGGGGATCGCAGTACACCCATATGACGATATTTGAATGCGGCTCATAGATTGGACCCGAGCATTGCGTGAGCACTCGATTTGGGCTCGTGATAATCGATAGCTCGACAGCCACTCGGGTAGTGACCCGTGTCCAATCGCTGCAACAACGACAATAGCCGAGCCATAACAATGTCTGGAACTCATTGCGTGACCTGTACCTTGCCAACCCCAGCGCGTGGCTATGATCAGCATTGGCGGCATATAATCGGCTCCAGATCACGTGGCCGCTTGTCCTGGCTGCGATTTGAGGGGGTGAACGCTGCTCGTTTTTCTTAAATTTTTTTCTGGGACTTCTATTGGTGTGGGGTGAAAAACGAATTGGTGTTTCATAAGTGATTAACGTCAGGGGTCCCTTCTACGCGGTATTTGCACAAAATACAAAAATTGTTGCATCGCCCCTTTAAGCTTATATACTTTAGTATCTTTCACACTCACCTCCAATACTGTGTGGAATCCTGGGGTTTCACCTATCAAAGCTACATACAACCAATTATGACACTTCAAAAGCGAGCAATCAGAATATCAGCCAACACAAAATATAATACTCATTCCGTTCCACCATTTCAAAGCCACCTGATACTGCTATTTCACCTGGTACGAGATTACAAAGCTGTGGTTATGATGCATAATATTTTGACAACAAACACACCACTATTATCAAGCATTTTCTCACATTCGGAAAGAGTCACCAGAAATTTTTTCGCCCTACGATTTTAACATTCCATTGTCTCGTAATGTTTATGATCAAAGAATGACACAGTATACTGGAACAAAAATATGGAGTTCCTTATGCATCCTAATAAAAGAAAGCAAAACGTTCAAAAGTGTACTTAAAACATTTTATTTGGAAACAACGTTTCACTGACAAATACGTTTGTACGGCACATGCATGGGTGCCGGGTAACCGGCGCAATATTTATTTTTGTACATTTGGAATGGAGCCAAGACTAACCAAATATGTTTTAGGGATCCAGTTGGTTTATGCAGTGTGATCTGTGATTATTTTGAATAAAAATTGTATTGAACTCGAATCTCGGCAGGTTTGCGACATCTTTAATACTAATATTAAAAGATCTCAATTTTTTTATAAAGGACGGTGGAACGAGTTTTGTTTCTTAGCCAATTAGATGTGGTAATTAATGTTGCCTACAAAACAGGGAACCGAAAACAACTTTTCTTCGTGCGCTTATTAGTTCTTTTTCTTTTTATGAAACTAATTGCAGGTCGGGCTCAACTCTTACGGCAGTATTTGGCGTAGGTGCTCAGTGATGCCACTGGGAGTGGTAGGTTCTTTGTTTAGGGCCCGGAGCTCTGCCTACGCGATTGTCGACCTCTCAACACCGCAGCCGGGTCGTTGAAAGTTGCGGCAAGCGATCGAGACAAAAGAAGACGAAAGACGCAACGGGAAAAAGGGGAGGATAGTGGCAGAGAGGAAACGCCCTTTTCTTTTTTATACTTCCGGTAGGTGGCGTCACGAAAACTTCTGTACTCCCAACGACGTCACACCATGCATGTTCCCTCGATCGCCACACGCAACCGGAAATTTAAGCAAAATGCGTTTTTGCTTATTCTATTACGCAGAGGAACTGCAGTATTTTTGGAGAAGGCGGTTGTTCACTCTCACTGGTGTCGAGATGAGTAATATAAAAGAGCACAAGCTGCTCATTTTTTCAACGTTAAAATCGTTGCACTGCCCTTTGTTAAGGACAGCGAGAAAGATATATTGGAAAAGTGGAGATAACACAGCAAAGGTTATCCGTCATGGAGGCACAAGTTTGGGAAAGAATAAATATTCTCTTTTCCCCGTCGATTCGTTCGGTGAAAAGTGTCGAAGACGCGCTCCCGACACACGGATCCCGTTTTTTTTTTTTTACTAGTATTGTTATTAAAACGCTGGGCTATACACTTTTGTACATTAGAAAAAAGGTAGAAATAACAAAAAATACACCTATGCACTTATGAGTTGTGAATGCGAAAGCGTGAATGTCGTTCTTCGCGCCGCGGCCTCTTCTCAGCCAATCGACACCGAGGCCACTTCTGAGCCTCAGTGGACGCCTCGGCCGTTTCTGTTCCGGTGCAGGCACGCAGCGCCATGGGGTGGCGCTAATTGAAACTGACGCGCGGCGGCTTCATATCATTGCCGTTTTGCGTGGCTTTCTACGTGGTTTCAAAGCTGGGATGCCTCAGATCGCGGCTTCGGGAATTTATCTGCCGTTTGGCGCGGCTGGTGACGTCGGCTCGCTCCATGGGACAGTTAATGCTTTCGCATTAAAACTGGCTAGGTGGCGCTTGCCGCCGCCCGATTCCAAGCCGCGGTCACACTGCTACTACATCGCGAAAGACAGTCTCCGTGTTTTTTCCTTGTACGACGGTCACATTCGACACAAAAAAACTGTCTGCAGGCATGTTCATGTATGAAGCCAACATCCGTGGAACACGATTGAGGTGTGTTTGCAAATAACTCTGTCATCGTGCCTGCAGCAAACAGCGCGTCTTTCGTACGAACAGTACGAGCCTAGTGTGACTAAGGACGCCTCGGTGGTTCAGGCGTATGCATTCAGTCATCTATCCAGGTCTATATTATTCCCTCGCGCGCTTCATCTGCACCTTGAATTATGCTCAATCTTCGATACAAAAAAGACAGTCAACTCGCGTGTCAGCTTACATTCACTGTAATGACAGTACATGTGTGCGACTGCACCAGGTCCAGCAACGAAAGAAGTGAAAGGAGGCCATATGTTCTATCAATGAAAATATGCACGTTTTATTGGCTCTTTTTTCCAGGTGTATATGGAAAACTCTCCACGATAACAATTGCCTCACAGACGTCATCCAACCCCAACCTGGGGGACGCACTCGATAAAAAAAAAAAAAAAAAAGAACTCGCAAAACACCCTTTTTTCACACACTGCACAATCCTCGTAAAACTTCATTCCGCGTGTAAAAAAAAAAAATTAAAATATTTAAAAACAAGATTCTACATTTGGTCCGGCCATTATACGAGTCTCTTCACAATATCAAAACTTAAGTAAGAACGAGTTAATTTTCGTAATCGGTGACACTAAGGTTGAACCGAACTAGCGATCGATCGCGAGCACCCAAAACACAAAACTTCGAAAAAAAAAAAAAAAAAAAAACTGTACATTGTGGAGCTGTTGCGCTGCGCCAAACTATACAGCGAGCATTAGAGTCCATTGTTCCATCGTAAAACAGATCGCAGAGCTACGCTGACTGCTTTGCAACTTATGCGAGAAATTCGACACCACGCCGAATCGGAGCCATTTATAGTGGAAGTTTTACTGGTCCAACTTTTAGAGCGGCGAACAAAATGGCGCCCAAAAACGCCAATGCTACCTTGAAAATGGCGGACCGGTCGATGAATTGCACTGTTGCCAGACGTGGGGACCTCAAGAATCGACCTGTGGCGCCACCTGTGATCGCCGCTATAACCACCAGCCTGTTCCATCAGAAAGCTGTAACAAGTCAATACCTGAAACTATTTTCTTTCGTTTTAATTGTGAATTTGACAAGAATCAGATTTTGGCTGCAGTGCGTCAACCTCTTCATGACGCAACTCCTTTCCGTCTGCCGACCTGCGCGATCCGTTTTACGCGGGAACATGTGCCAGAGACCAGCCTGTACATTTCCACGTTTAATAGAGTAAAAAGCCGGAAAACGAAACTCCTAAAGTCTACCACAGAAAAAAAAGAAAAATTAACAGTCGTTCCAACACTTGCACTGCAACGCGTCAACGTGAACTCGGCGTCAACAGCGCGCCCTTGGCCCCCATCAACTGGGTCGTAGAAAAAGAACACGGAAATTGGAAACAACTCGCAAAAACACGCATATATATAATATATATGTATATAAAGGGTGGCTACCGTGGATCTTACGCTGCAAAACCAGCCGGAAAAAGTCGGCGCCTGTTCAGAGAGAGCTCAAACTTGTCTTCCGAGTGTGCATTGCGGTAGTTTTTTACCTTGCGAAATTTCAAAGTGGAGTTCTATTTCCGCAAGAAATGAGACCAACAAACTTGAAGTCAATGGCGAACGCGTTCGCGGTTACTGAATGTAACTCGTGGCGCCATCTCCCGATAACCGCAGCAAGCAGACAACAGAGTGCGTCGTCTGCTCGCTCCGCCCATCGAGGAGTGGCAGCACAAGTTACACACACTTTTTTTGTGTGTTTTGCTTGTTTTCTCTGCATTTCCCTTTGTGCTCTACCAGCCTGAACCATCCCCTAGGTCTGGTGTGGAATAAATAAATAATATAAAATAAAAATCGCCAACCCGGCCGTCTGCGAACACGTCCACTGTTGACTTTTCGCAGGTTTGTTGCTCTCGATTTTTTTTAGAGAGACACCACGCCTTGAAATTTCACAAGGTATAAAGCATACCACCCAAATGCACATTCGGTGAAGGTTCGAGTCATTCTATGCGCAGACGCCGAGATTTCCGACTCCTTTTACAGCGTACAATCCAGCGTAGCCACCACAAATTTGCACTGTCGCTTACGCTCCTTTCGTTTTCGTGAGCAAGAGGGAACAACATGGTGGCTAACAAATTGCAATTCTTTCTCTCTCTCTCCGTAACAACGCAGCACATCCGAGTGATTGTGACATCATGCTTTAATCGCCGACTACTACGCAGGGTAGGGCCATTTTTCGCTTCGTGTCACGTGGTCTCTACCAAGGGACAGGTGGAGCAGGAACATCTCTTCCACAACGGCGTTCGCCTATGGTTACCGAGCTCCGCAGGGTTCGGTTGTGTTTTATTAAACTTTAAAGCAATAGCCCAACATGGGAACCCTGAACCGGTTCGCATATCGCACCTGCACTGCATCGAATGTTTCGGTGAAACGTCCCCCGAGTTGCGTTTAGTTAAAAACCAAGAATTTAAGATCATCGGTGGTGACAGCAAATACCTTCTGAGAATTTCGATTCGTGCACGAAAAGCTGAAATAGACCGTGCCATTTCGTTTCCGGCGAGTGTCAGCGACAAACATCCGCAATTGCACAATGCGCAAGTCGAACGCAGGCTCCAAACACTGGTTCGATCGTTTCTTTTTCTTCTTCCTCAAAATCTTCAACAACAGAGCGCGTTTTCCCCAACAAACAAGCCAACAAACGAACAAGCAAAAACAGTCTAAAAAAAATGGGATTGAAAAAAAAAAAAAAGGAAAAACACCGAGTGCAGTCAATGCGTTGTCGCATATCGTCTCAAGGCGTGAAAACCAAATGTACAATATGTACACGATCGAGGACAAACAGAACAATCGGCAGCAAACTATCTACAATGAATGGGAGGTGTGTGTGTGTGTGTGTGGGTCGGAGGAACGGTGCAGAAGGTCACAATCGCCTCCACAGGGGGTGGAACACTTCCCGTACAGAACCGCACGGTCTTACGGACGTCCGCAGGACGTTACGACGCCCTAAAACAACAACTGCCATAGTCGCCTACAAGAGGAGAACGGCAGGGAGGTGTCTTGCATTGCCCCGAATACGTCCCTGAAACCATGCAAGCAGACGAAACCACGCAGCAACCGAAACAGCATACGCATTGTAAAACAAGAATGCCCATTGCAAAGATTAACTACACATCGCGACTGCGGGCTCTGCAAGACTCTCGCGGTATATACGCGTCCAAAGAAAGAGCACGCTGCAGCAAGAGCAGAGTTGCACCGGCGTCTTGCAGCGCTGCATCAGCGTCCCGACGACCGCCGGGATGGAGGTCGTGCATGCGAGCAAACGTTGACTGGTGCGCGTCTCCTTTTTTTTGGCACTTTCTTGGGCACGGATTACCTCCACTGTGCTGCCGTAGTGATCTCTAATCCTATGCCTCATCTATACCGCGGCCGGTCTGGTTTTGAACGCGGGGTTTTGCGAACGGAGGACAGGACGTCAGGTTTCGAAATCTGGCAACTACGCTTTGCTTGTACGATGAACTAACATGCCAGAACACCGCAGTTTTCTCAACTCTTTGATACACCAATGGTCTTTGGCAGACATCCTAGGTTTTAGTGCCATTTACAGCATCATTTTACAGAATCACTCTCTAAAAATTAAGAAGACGTAACCGAACGTAAATGAGAATCGCATGCAAATAAACGACTACGATTAATATCCCCACGAAAAAAAAAAATGATGTTTGGGGCCTATATTTTAGGCAAGTTTTTTTTTTCTTTCTTGGTCTTCTTTCTTTTAAATGGTATTAAATGTATATAATTATAAATAGGCTGATGTCACGCAGTAAGCCATATTTATAAAACAAACGCGAGAATGACGAGCAGTGGTTCCTGATGGGGATAGGGTCGCTCGGATCTTCAAGAACTTTTATCTTTAAAATATCGTTCCTGGCCGTTTAACAGAGCCATTTCTTTTTTCTTTCTTATCCCAGTTTACCATTCGACTATTCAGAAATTCAATGTTAAGCTATAAAGAATAACAAAAAAATTCTTTACCAAAATAATTTAAGAGTTTCGATCCCACCCTTCCTGTTCGTTCGAAGAATTTCAAGGCAATTCTTAAACCACTCTAGAGTTTACGTGGGTATTTGAACCTTGACGCCGTCAAACCGGGACTCGGCCGTGGAAGTAAGGGCTTTGTACTTGATTTTGGAGACGCTTTGGCAAGAGGCTTGGTTACGGCTGGCTGGTCGACAGCGTTGCCGCACATTTCTCTTTCTACTCGGAAGGTTCGAAGCGGATACGCCATGGCGGTAGCAGGCGAGCATTTTTAAGCAATTCTTAAAAATCTTGCTTACAAAAAAATCTAGCTGAGCACTACAAAAAGCTTTGTTTTCCTTTTCTAGAAAAAAAAATAATCAGCGCCCCCCCCCCCCCCCCCCCCCTTCTTCCTCTCTCTTCCCTCTAAAAAAAAATAATAATCCTTTTTTACGAGACTGATGAACTGCAGATATGTGCATTTCGTTTCTGATCGGTGCAGAAGTATTTCTTTCTGGCTCCGCCACTGAGAGCATAAGAAACCTAGGGGTGGGGCCTATTATGTTAACGCTCCTCGCTTCTCGCGATCGGCTTTTTGTCGTTCTTATCGGCCGATGCTGCACTCTCATTGGCTGCGGAGCCATAATGAGATGCTCGATCTAGGCCACGCCCCGCGGTTCTTCTTAAGCAGCGAGTGACCGTGTACAGTTGAATTAATGTAGATAAAACAAAAAAGAAAAAAGTTTGAAACGACCATTTGAGACAAGTGGCCTGCGAGCTATGGGCAATTCTCATAACCGACCGAATTCCCGGCAATCACAATCAAAGAGCAAACTGTTCAGCTAAAAAAAAAAAAAAAAAAAAAAGAACCCTCCGAGATAAAAGAAAAAGAAAGCTAACCTAACAACTGTTTTTCGAGAAAACAAAAATATTCCAGTAAGTAAAAATGGCACGTGACAATTATGAGCCACTGACCGTCTCCCCCTCACAGTCTGCCTCGATGGTTAGGATGAATGATAAAAAAAGAAAAACACGTTCGACCACCTCGCCGAACGACGTCAACAACGATAACAACGACCACCAAAACACACACCGACCGGCACCCTCCCCACCGCAGGGAGAACAACAATTCGAGTCCGTGGTGCGCGGCGACGTTGCACAATGAAAAGTGGGCGAGCGTTCACTCGTGGTCAAGTCCGTTTTTGCGTCGACGCAACACCACGTAGAAGACGAGACCTGCGGGTCAACGCGGGGCATTACATTGGAGACGAGTCGCAGCGACAGCGCTCAACCGGCACACGAGTGCGAGCCAAACTCTTGCGCAACGCTCGTGTTTTAATCTGCGTTACTATAGCTGACGTAGAAACCATAGCACTACGGCCTTGTGAAGTTCCTACTTCTGCATTTGTATACATGTCTTCTAGCTTTTGACAGCGCTCCGACCAAGTGTTACCATGCTCGCACTGATGTCCCGTCGGCGGCCATGGTGAAGGAGCCCGCTGCTGCGGGCACTCCCCCTGCGGCATACGTTCTGCGCCATTAAATTTGTTTTCCTCTGCAAGGACAAGTAAGAATGGCCATTGGTACGGTGCGATGATGTCAGGTGCAAGCCCCCCCTTTTCTAATCGTGGCTTAACACACATGCCTCGTCTTCTAGGCGGTATTGGTCAATGGACCCCGCTAACGATGAAGAGTGCGCGATCCTCGACTTCTAGACGGTACTGGGCAATGTCTTTTCCCCCACTCAAGGACCACCGGGCGACGACGTCGACTCCGAGGCGAGCGCCAGTTCAGACGGCGTTCCCACAAGCGGCGACGCCGCCGATGATGATGATGATGTCGATGAGGATGGTGTTGTTCTTAGGGCGACGTCTGGCGTCGTTTTGGGCGGCGGCGCGGTGACCGGTACAGCGTCGTCCGGCGCGACGACGGCGCCTCGGGCGTCTCCGGGTACCACGGAGGATGCCGCGGGGTCGGCGAACTGGAAGACCGCGCCGTCCCCGCGGGACTCCTGCTACGTCCAGCGGTCCAGGTCGATCCCGGAGTCCGGCGTGGAGCGCGTGGGAGACGTGAAGTGCAGGGCCCGGCACCGGCACGGCGTGTCGCAGCAGCAGCAGCGCCGCGGCCGCAGGTTCAGGAGCTGCTCGAAGTCCAGCAGCTGGCCGAGGAAGTTGAAGTTGGGGGCGATGTTGGCCTTGCGCTTCTTGACCAGGTCGTACGCGTCGTTCAGGGGCAGCTTCTGCTTCTGCATCAGGTAGGCCAGGGTGACCGTCACCGAGCGGGACACGCCGGCCAGGCAGTGGACCAGGACGCCGACCCGCTTCTGTCGGGCTTCGTCTGCGAACACGCGGAAAAAAGACGGGCGGACTCAGATCTGAGATATTCCTCTTTCAAAAAGTACAGACACACACACACACAAATAGTACACCCTTCAAGTCGCGGTTGCATTATCACGATCCTGTTGACCGCTCAGCCGCCTCATCTAGAGTCGACAACTGAAAGACACTACTCATTCGATGGTATATGTGCCTCCGCAATTACCAGAGTTCCGTGTGGGCATGTGGAAGACTTTGGAGCGGCCAAGGGCCCAAGAGGGCAGGGCCCGGCAAGGGATTGCTGGGCTTCCTCGGATAAAGGGGGGTAATTTCTGCGGACAGCTTGTCTCGTACTACGGCTTTTGCGGCGATCCACGTCGACTCCCGGCGCGGTTTCCGCGGAAACCTCGTCTTATATGTGGTGCTATATATTGCGTCGGCGCGACGTGCGCCTTGGTAGGGAACCATTTGCCATCGCGGAGGGACGCTCGAGGCAATGAGGGTGTAGGAAAGATTATTCTGCGCTCTAATATGCTCTAGGGATATAGATTCCCCCGCCTCCCTCCCTCCCTCCCTCCCTCCCTCATGCATGTTTCGATATGTTAGTTGTTCGGGTATTTTATTTAAGTGTTTCGGACCTTTCGCGGTCGAAGACAACAACCTGTTCGGTCTCTTTCACGGTCGAAGACAACACCTGCCTGTTTCATATATATAGTTTCTAGAGGATCTCTCGACGCTGAGGGGAGGCTGCTTCGGCAAGAGACCCCTGATAACATTGTACGACAAGCGGCAAACGTCCTGTTTGGGGAGAGTACGCCCGCCTACCTTAACCTCGCGACTTGAAGGTTAAGCAGGGATCCCACTTGCAAGGGTATATTCGCTCTTTCTCGTGGTGGCGCCAGTGTGAAAATAGCCCCCAAACACTTCCAGCTCCGAACTAGACAGCGGGTTCCGCAGCATTTGCGAGACTAAAATTCCGATATACCGGCCATCTTCTGAAAATGGCCACTTATTCCACTGTCAGACAATTTCACTTTTGTGATAAACGAAATATGAGTAAAATATTTGAAGATATGCGTGAACCGGAACTTGTGCCGGGGCTACCCAATAGGTGGCGCCACTGAGTTTGTGGACAAACAAAAAAGAGGCGAATGGACCCTGAAACAAACTCCCTAAGCTGTTAAAAGCTAAGAAATTTATTGTTTCACGCGTGTCTGCGCGTTCGTGTGTTTGTGCGCGTGCGCGCGCGTGGGTGTGTGTAGGCGCGTGCGTACTTATTTTAGCAGTCCTTTGACATGCGACATGTACGCGACTGATTATGTTACCGTCCAGGTGCACCACCTGTGCACCGCGGAATTTCCAAATACATAAGTAAAAGTCGAGGAAGTCCACTCAGAGGCACTGAGGTGCATCAGTTGCTTTCCTTTCAACCCACTTCCCTTCCCCAACTTTCCTGAAATAAAGGCTTTTCAACAACAATGCCGGCTCATCGGATTTCCATACCCACCCATCTCACAAACATCTGCTCAACTGACAAAAGCACGGGCACATCGCTTTACAAATTGCGCGTTTATGTCTATGCGCGAGTACAAAACATGCCGCGCTGTGCAAGGCTCACGCGCGCCCCTTTGTGTGCGCTCCAGTTGGCTGACAGGGAAAAGGGGGCGGGATTTCGATTGCGCTACGGATGTTTTGACGGCTACCTTTTGTTTTTACGAAATGACACAGTCGAAAGCAGTGCGGCCTGTTACATGATTCAATGAAAAAAAAAAAAAAAGTTTCGCAACAAAGATGTCGACAGCTAAAGTTAACGGACGCTTAAGCTTCCCCTTTAAGAGTGAAAGGGCGTTAGCATTATCTGGCCTTCTCATTCGCCCTGCAAGCGTGCCTTGCGTGGCCTAGACTGGAGCATGTTTGGCTCGTAACCGAAGGATCGCGGGTTCGAATCTTGCCCGACATTCTCCAAGTTTTTTGTTTTCAAGGCAAATGAGTTACTTTAAAGGAGCTGTGCAACAATTTTTGTACTGCGCACAAATACCACTTAAAACGGATCCCTAACGTTAATGGCCTATGAAACACGCGTTCGTTTTTCACCCCACGCAATAGAAGTCCCAGTAAACAATTTAAGAAAAACGAGCAGCGTTCACTCCCTCAACTCGCAGCCATAGAGATCATACATACTAACTCTAGAGGAAAAGGTCCGCCATTTTCCCATCCATTCTGGCTGCTGCAAGCGGCGGAGTATGCAGGCAGACCCTCGGGGTCCCACATGGTAACCAACTGCCTTCGATTTCACAAGTATATCTTCAGAGCATTGTCACGAACTTCAACAATCCACGAACTTAATCTACGAACTTACCGGTGGAAAGATATTCCCGTTCCTTTCGAAGCTTTCTTTTTGCATAGCACGCAGATGTACGGCCTCCCGTCAACACTAAACTAAACCAGATAACCGGCTTCGGTTATCTAGTTTAGTTTCGTATTTCCGGGCGCGGGTGGCCGCGCCCGGAAATACGAAACCGCGCAACTACCAGATTTTCGAGATTTCGACAGAAGGGAAGTTAATGCAGCGTAATGAGTATGCTGCGTTTCATAATCCTTAGACTAGCTCAAAATTTAGTTTTCAACGTTAAATTATCACTGTTTATATTGCTGTTTATATCACTGTTTATATCGCGATTACCATTGCGACTGTCGTCCTTCAGCTGGCAACATTGGTTTCTTTCTCTCGTGTTCTGTCGCTCTCTTTCGCGATCTTTCACTCGGGACCCAGGATGCCGGCGCGCGGGATTTGCCACTCCTCCTCACCCAGCTTTACCCCCTGCTCGAAGCCAGAACAAGCGGCCACGTGATCTGGAGCCGATTATATGCCGCCAGTGTTGATCATAGCCACGCGCTGGGGTTGGCAAAGCGCAGGGCACGCGCTGAGTTCCAGACATTGTTATGGCTCGGCTATTGTCGTCGTTGCAGCGATTGGACACGGCTCACAACCCGAATGCTCCTCGAGCTAGCAATTGTCACGAGCCCAAGTCGAGTGCCCACGCAATGCTCGGGTCCAATCTATGAACCGCATTCAAATATCGTCACTTGGGTGTACTGCGATCCCCGAGTTACGTCATCAAATTTTGCAAAGGAGAGATTCAATGAAAATGATCGCTTTTGTCCTCGAAATTACACCGCAACAAAGGAGTTGCTTGGCCAGTGGCGTTGCGTGTGAGTATCCTCGAGTCCCAGGTGTGCCAGTAAGCTCGTGTAGAGAGAAAAACATTGCAATTGAATATCGTTACACAGCTCCTTTAAAGAGTGAAATTATTTTTGAGAGGTGCGGCGCCCTTTAACTTGCATTACGTGTCACGTCTTTTAATCGCTTTCATTCCACGCGTGACGTCACGTTTCCCGTGAGCATTGTGGTTTCGAAATTCCCGCGCGAGGTCAAGTGGCTGTGACGTCATAAGCCCATCGACCAATCCTGGTTTTTTGGCGCACGCCACCGACGCCGGCTTTTCTGCGACGCGAGTTTCCTAACGCGATAGCGTTAAAAAAAACACCGGCACAGTTGCGCGCCGTCAGAATCATTACAGATGGAGAAGACTCCGCCACAATCAGACCATCCTCAATACCCCATCTAGCAACACTGACAGTCGCCAGTTGTTGGGCACGAGGCGTACGATTGGATCCGAACGCCGACGCAGCACTGGTTTTCGATACCAACTGAGCCGAGTTCGCGTCGAACGCGGCCCTGGTGTCCCCCACACATGCCCAGGGTATAATGGGCTAGAAGAGGGGTAGCCCTTCTAGCCCACCGTACCCAGGGTGCATGCCCGAACAATAGCGCGCCCTCCGATAATCGGCGCAGCAGCTACTAGACGTGCTCTTGAGTGGGGGGTCTGTTCTCGTGCCGACGTCTTGGAGTACGTGTATACGCAACGGGAAGAGCAAGCCCGGAGTACGGCGACAGGTGCGGCGTGTACGATCGATATTCCGCATCGGAGCAGCGTGCAACGCCAACAGCAAAGCAGCGCAGCCTCCTCCCCTTCCTGCGTCGTTAACCTCGGCTGCCCGTCGAGGCACCCGCACTTGCCTTTGGAGCGAGAACGCGACGCGTCGCGACGAGAGAACACACTGGCGCCATCTATCGTCTAGCCTTAAAAACACTTCCGCCCTGCGTGTGTATATATATATATATATATATATTAAGCATCCTTTTTTACTGTGGGCTGGACATAATTTCGATAACGTAATAAGCGACTATTTTCTTTTCTTCCGTAGGTAGTGCGTATAGATCTTGCAACTACTGTAAAACAACCTTATCCAGTTATATAACGCAATCAGGACGTGTGCGCACTCTGTCAAAAGCAATGCCTGACGCATCTTTTTTTTTATTGTGGGCTTACACAATTTTGACAACGTAATAAGCGACTGTTTTTCTTTTTTTCATGGTGCGTAGATATTGCAAGCACTGTAAAACAACCTTGTCTAATTATAACGTAATTCGGACGTGTTTTTCCAGTACTAGCTTATAGATGGCGCCAGTGAACTCTGTCAGAAGCTATGAACCCTGCTTTCATTGCTGCGTTAATGCGAACGCTCGACATTTCACTCGACGCCTCCTGACAACAATCGACGTCCTTTTTGAGAACTCTATCCATTACGCTTATTTCGAAAGGCCGTAGCGTCCTCGGGTCTCTTAAACTCCATTGTACAAGAAAACGTACAGCGCAGACAAAATGCATCGATCACCGCAACCGCATTCGTTATTTTCTGTTCTTTTGTTTTCGTCCCCCACGCACTATAATTTTTCCAAGTCTCGTGGGAAGTTTTGGGCCCGACTGGGAACTTGGCCTCGACTACATAGACCAATAACACTGTTTACAAACAAGTCGGCGTTTTACCCATAGATTCCCGGTGCCGTGACGTCAGAAAGTTGAGTCGGGGGTACAGAGCGACGCTCTGTACCCCCGACTCACGTACTTACGATACACGTACGACTTACGATACACGTAAGCGACGCTCATAGAGTAA